TGAGCCACAGGCACCTCCCTAGAAAGTGACTTTCAATATGTTTGTTCCTCAAATCCATTACTATTTTTTTATGAAAGGAAGTTGTCACTTTTTTTAATCTACATTTCTTTCCAGGTACCAAAACCTCTAAGCAAGTAGTTTTGGACTTGCCAAATGACGCAGTAGAAGGATCCACCAGAGGCTTTTTCACTGTTGTGGGTAAGGTGATTAAATTTTGTGTTTCACAATGATTTGAAAACTTTGGTCACAAAAAAATTCTCAAAATGAAAGTATGAAGAGATTTTCTTAAGCTATCAATTGGAGGGAATTAGTGTTCAGGCCATCCTCTAATGCATGCTTTCCTATGGTATCTGAAGGGATTATAGTACCATTTCTTAACCTGTGTTTCTAGGAAACATGAGTTCTGGCAGATGGTTACTGCTATTCAGAAAACCAAAGGTTCTATTATAACCCACTAATCTGAAATATTAAATTCATCTCTTTGAGAATCAGAATAAACTGTCCTATTCAAGATTCTGGGAATTTCCTCAGTGAAAGGAAGAATCTGTTTTACAAAGGGCAAATTTCTTTGCTTATGATTAACATTAAACCTTTGGGGAGGGATGGATTACAATTTATAGTTCATAGGATCAATTTCTCAAAAAGCAAGCAAACACACATTTTCCCAACTTCACTTTCTCTGGTGATGAGATTTTCAGAAATATTTTCTAGAAACCCTTTAACTTCACCTTACAGGACTATCTCCTTTTTGTAATTACTTCATGAAAGTTTCCCTATCTCCACCTTTTAGAATCAATACTAAATGTGTCCCACTGCCACTGTGCCTCTTTTATCTATGGCTATTAATGCTGAGATTATAGCTATAAGGAATCTAACTTCCTGGTTTTCTATTTTTAGGAGATATAATAGGACTTGCAGCTCAGAATCTGGAGAATCTTGTCCAAATGCCCTATAGATTTGGAGAGCAGAATATTGCCCTAGTAGCGTCCAATACCTATGTCCTTGACTACTTGCAATCTACTGAGCAACTGACAGAGGAGGTTAAATCTCAGGAACTCTTGTTCTTATCTAATGGTAAGAAGATTTCTGTAATTTCTTCCCATAATAGTTGAAATCAATTGTTACTAATACCAAGATGTCACAAAACTATTTTTATGAGGTACTCTTGTTGGGGAAAACTGGACCTCAACGGAAGAACTCTGAGTCCTACCTATGTTTTCTTTTTGACTTCAAAATATGTGTGGTCAGTGAGCTTCATAATTAGGAACTGTGAAGGTTTAGGATCATGAACTCAGTTATTTTCTTTTAGCACTTAGTGTTTTTCCAAGTCACCCCGCTGTTTGTTATTGTTAATAGTAGCTGCAAATGGTTCATTTGTCAACTTCTGTATTTGTTTACTCAGTTGCGTTCCATTGCAGGGAAGTAACCGAATCTGTGTGTAGAAAGAGGGTGTATAATTCTTTTAAAATGCGATATTAAAGAACACTCCAAGGGGGTTCTTTTCATAAAAATATCACTGATGTAAAATAACCATAGGAGAAATATAGGCAAAATGCCTATATGCCTCTGCCCAAAAAAGCCGTTTGAGAGAGAGCAGTGAAAAGACTTTGTGCAGGCATACTTGTAAGAAACTGAGGCAGAATCCCATGTGACCAGGTTGATTGTGAGCCGAATACGACCAAGGCTTCAACTGGAATAGCATTTACTGTGTTGAGGAATTAAGGTTGACGTTATAAGGCCAATAAAAAAGCCCTTTGGAAAACTGGCCAGATACCTATCAGTAACCTTTCCTGATCTGTGGTAAGTGATGAAGGTCGCTTGCTGACAGGCTGGGAATGTAGTAACCTTTCCTGATCTGTGGTAAGTGACGAAGGTTGCTTGCTGACAGATCCAGAATGGAAATGGGCTTGGAGATCTCAAGAGAAGAGGAATTTACCCAATGCATATAGGTATCTAATGGCACAGGTAAAACTTGAGCTTGTGAAAAGCTTTTGAGAAGTCCAGCCTGAAAATTCCTTATAAAATGTTCCCACAAAAACTCCCTGACTTAAAGCCTATATGGGAGCAGAGGTTTGCACACAAATTCCTGTATGCCCAAGACGTTGCTTTATACCCTGTTTAAAGATCGAAGTAACAGCCTCCAAATGGCAAGGCCAGCAAGGGCAGGTAATCGATTTACCTTCTTCCTCCATAGTCTCAGGTAAAATCAGATAAGAACAAAGAAGAAATGGCTAACAACATGTTCTCCATTAAGTTTTGTTAAATGGGTTATGTTGATAGGGTTATGTCAAAGGGTGTATGTTGAGTGGATTATCGGAAGCTAATCATGAGGT